TGTTTCTTTTTCTCTATCCATTTGCTGCTACAACACCGGAATTTCCCCATTGTGGGACAAATAAAGGAATATCTTATCTTATCTTATATCTTTTTTTTTTTTTTTAAAAAGAATGACTTCCATTTAAAGCCAAACCAATGAAACCAGACAATAATCAGAGAAGAGTGTTTTTTTAGTTTCATTTGATGCAACTACAGCTTAGCAATGGTGAGCACGTTAAAAAAACAGTCTGTAAGCAGTGAGTCTCACACGCCAACACACACACAGACGTGATTCTTTCAACCCGGTGCTGTTGAACTCCCTGGCAGCTCTACTGAAGGATTAGGCAAAAACTCACAACACTGTCCAAACACAATGACTGGCTCCTGATCAAGGGGCTGGATGAGTAGCGACCAATCTGTCCACAGTGATGTAAAGTGCAACTATGAGACAGGATGCTTTTTGTGGATAAATTCCTTAAACTATGACGTTTAGCCCCCAAATTAGTAGCAGTAACATTATATCAAGTATAAAAAAATAAATGCTATTCTATACAAGCGGTAGAGAGCGATATACACAGTGATACTGTACATACATACATCCAGGGTAAAACAGGACATCATTACATGAAAATAAACTATAGAAACATGAATAATGTCAATCAATACTGTACTTTAAGGCCTGACTCATCCTGAACTGCTACTCACCTGCCCCCCCCCACTTTGCATTAGAGTTGAAAAATTAAATTTAGAGTGATGGGCAGTATTTAATTTACCGGAAACAGAACAAAAACAAAATAAAACAGAATAGGGATCTGTGCCAAAATATACAAAAACAAGCAAAAAAACAGGAGCATTTTTTTTTTCATGGCATGGCGACTATATTCACTGCATCAGTAGAAATACATCAGAAATACATAATGTCCTTTTACATACAAATGAACTCAGTACAATGGTATTCATATACATACATTATAAATTGTAAGACAACTCATTTTGGAGAGGTGAGGGGGGGAAAGAAAGCTAATCCTCTGACATACATCCATTTAAAATCAGAGCCAATAAAAATCTGCAAGTCCAAAGGTCCAGAGGCAAAATTAAACTGAAAGCAAGCCTGTAATAATAATCAAACATCTCAGTGTAGAGGGGCGTTACTGAACCAGTTAGAGAACAAGATAGCTGTAATGTGGAGCTTAGATTAGACACTTTATTATATTTTAACTTGCACCTTGTTGCCCTTTAAAGTGTTAGAAATGGTAGAGCTTTAAAACGCACCCCTCCCACCCAACCCCGGCACTGTTTTGGTGTTTGGCTCATTATATCACAAAGCTCATCGGCTTTACCGCAACATTAAGATCCTCTTTCTCTACCTGGTACACAAAAACACCGCCCCAAACACTGAAAGGTTTAATTACAACAAATTCCCCGAACAAGAGCACTTCATACATACAGTACTGATCATGAGTCTGGGACCTTTGTTTATTTGCAAACTATTGCTCTGCCTGGGTTACGAATGTAGTTCATTGTTAAACATTAGGTTTTGTGTGCTGGTAATACAAAATATATATTCTCTATGTACATGAGGACAGTGCTTATTCAACCAGCTGTGTTTGGACTCAAAGCCATGCGTGAGCAGCTGCCGGGTGATAAAGGCCGTGCTCTGTCTGCCATGACTCTTTACCTGATAGCAAAAAGGTTTTCTCTTGTTTTTTTGTTTTTGTTTTTTTCCTGGAGATGTCTGAGTCAAGTTAAAAGAGCATACAATACAAAACTCAAGCACACACCCACACACACCCACACACACGCTCGCTCACAAGCACACTGGGAAAGCTGATACGCAAACATAATAGCTTTATCATACATAATCCAAAAATAGAATTATTTGTCATTTGTTTTGACTATGTTTCCTTGGAAAAGCACTAAGTAAATTGTTTTGTTCTCGCCTGTATTTTCTTCATGAGGCTGTACATGTAGCTACTGTGGCGCTGAGCTCAGCTCGAGCTCGCCGTGTCAGTGCAGAGGTGTCCTTGAACGCTCATCAGAACATATCGGCTGTCCTGCACCTCTTTCTCGCCTTCACCGACAGTGAGGAGGGAGGGGAAACGTGGAGAAAATGAAGTTAGATTAGCACGTTTTGGCAAACTGCCTCACACTCTGACGACAATCTCTGGGGTCAGAGGTTGAGAATGGGGACGTCAAAGAGGTCACACAGGCCTTCTGTCTCGTCCAGGTTGTATATGTAGTCGTGGTCGCTGGGTGGAGGGGACAGACGGAGGAGAGGCGAGAACACTGGAGAGGGAAACAGAGAGAGAAAGATTAAGATAAGATAAGAGGGGGCAACGACCCAATAGCCTCTTTGTTACACACATGTAAACAGACCCACCTTCTGAGGACATCAAGTCCTCCAACAGGTCTCCACTCATGATCTCTGTAAGAGGAAGAGAAAGGAGTTGAGACATTATTTTAAAGCTTTAAGACTGCTGGACACTGAGAATAAGGTATACAAATAACGACTGCATAATCAAAGGAATACATGTGATTTGTGTAATACTCAAGAGGAGTTTACCTTTTGTTGGATCAAACATGTCAGAGAGCTCTTTGGGGAAGTCCAGCACTAGAAGGAAAGCACAGTAAACATTTCAGCTACAGCTCACTGTGTTAAGTGGATCCATTTTATACTGTGTCTCATGGAAAATACTAATTTAAATAAAAACTGGTCTGCAGAATTAACATCATCCGTAGAAAGTGAAACAATCCAATATAACATTCAGTGAATTACTGTGTGTGAGATCAGTGACACCTGGGCTCCACCTGCTCTTTCTTGGTTTTCCATTAGGGATAGTACCTGCTACTTGTTTTTGTTGTTAAAGCGAGCTGAGGAAGATACTAATAGCGTTTTTCCATACACATGGGCTGGCTTGGCTCAGGACACCAGCCCAGCGTGGCAGGGATTTGCATTTCCATTACAACAGGGGCTACTCGCTTAAACGTGAGTCCTAACAGGCAGAGAGAGCGGGAACAAAACAAAATCAATCAAAGAAATAAAACAGTACTTTCTGATTGTTTCAGGGCGGTTTTGTTTTCTAAAGCACAAATAAACACAGCCACCCTCCTCCCTGCAGTATGCAGACGAGGCTCCACTCCGGTGATTGCATTGTATTTCCTGTACATTCTTCACAAAGTTCACAAGTCCAAGTTATTTTGTTATTTAAAAGGGTTATTATGAAGCAGCAAATCAGCCAGGCGCGCTGTGGCTCTACTCCAGAGAAGGCTTGGCACAACTCGGCGTGTTTAAACTGGAAATGAAAATCCATATCAGCACTGCATGCTTTGAGTCGCTGCAGCCAAAAGTGCTAATGTCATAAAAGATGACGTGAAAACACTGCAGACCACTGATTGGTGGCGTGACGTGGGACATCCTGCACAAACAACAAATTTTTAAATAGTGTGTGTCTTAAATGGCAGCCTGGGAAACCACACCATGGTCAACTGACAAAGTGCACACATAGAACACCATCCCTTAACACCCTGTGAGTGCTAGTTAGGGTGTGGATGAGTGAGAGTATGGGAGCACTGCAGAGGAAAACAGCAGTAAATGTAAAGACTGCAGCTTCTCAGGACCAAATTAAAGCTCCCTGTTGTCTCCAGGTTGTTTCCCCGACTGCGTTGCTGTACTGATAGAGCTCCGCCCACATCGAGGAGGTACTATCCAAAGCACCAACAGTGAAAAGCGAAGTAGACGTACCAAAGGTGAGTCGAGTCGAGTCATGTAGTGGAAATAAGTCAAGTAAAACATTATCCCTGCCTCAACATCTTCATCTTTCCAAAGCTGTATTCCAGAGGGAGGGAGGGAGGGAGAGAGGGAGAGAGGGGTTCAAAAGACTTCAGCAACATGTAAACTCACATTCGGAGGGATCCGACTTAATTGGTTCAAACACTACAGAGGCAGAAGAGGACGCAGATCCATCCAACGAGGCAGAAGACTGTAGTTGCTGAGTAACTGTCGCAGGTGTATCTGTTGTCGGGGTGAGTGGCGTGGTGCTCGTCACTTTCTGAAATAAAACGAGGTGTGATCGGTAATAATTATCACGAGCGAAAATGAGACAATAAAAAGGGAAGTCCAAATCTTGTAGACCAAACAAATTGCCCGTATTTGAGTTCACAGTGCGCTCACAGGTACGTTGCCCCTCCCTACCTGTCACTGAGGCCGTCTGGTTAGCTGCTGTAGCTGACGTTGTGACCGAAACAGGTTTTGTAGAAGTTGTTAGAGCTGCTTTGGGGACCTGGAGGATGAAAAGATGACAGAAAGAAAAAGAGGAAAGTCAAAACATTGCGTGATAAAAAAAAAAAAAGATGTGTGATGGATGAAAAAAAAAAAAAAGCAGAAGTCAGAGTTTTGAATTAGTTTCCCACGGTGATTAAGCATTTATGAACATCCTCTGTAGTGTTTTAATAAAGACAGGTGCCATGAGAGTGAACAGTCTCTTACAGTAAACAGACTAAGTGCATAAAGAAAGTGGATATCTGTGTGGACCTGGGAGGCAGCAGGGGGCGGCTGAGAGGTAGGTATCGGTGCTGGGAGGCTTTGAAGGACATCATCTGGAGGAGGGACGGGCAAAACAACGGGAGAGGCACTGGACGGGTCCTTATTGACCAGCAAAACCTCGATGGGACCAGATGAACTCTTGAGACGGATCTGGTATTTCCTCTGTCCGTTCAGGATCTGGATAAGAACACATACACTCGGTGTGAGACGTGACACAAAGCGGTAGCTGGACGAAAGGAGCGTACACAAACCGCGCACATAACTTACAGATTCTGGTATAGGGACCTCTAGCTGTGTGCCAATGGGAGCGCGGATTGCGAGGAGTGTGTCACCTGAGGAGGAAGGACAGGCAGGTGTTTGTCAATGTGTCACAGATAAAAGAAAAAAGGTCTATAAGAGATTAAGCATCTGAAACAATCACCTTTAAAAGCTCCACAGAGGTCTTCGTGTTTTATATAGGCCATAGTGGGAATGAGTTAAGGGTCATGTTTGCAACTTCAATGAAAAAACAGTTATTAAAATACATCTAATGTCCATTTGTGGAATCTCCATCCAGTTTATGGAAGACTTATGAACAGGATACTCCAGAAATTTAATATTGCACTTCAATAAAAGAGGACTCAGAAAAGAGCGAGCAGAGGCTGAGACGTTTAGTCATCAGTATGAGTCAAGCTACAAAAACTCCCAATAATGAGACTAAACAGCATGTTTCATTAGTCCCTCCCTGCCTGTTAAACGCTCTTATTTTCTCAGGCTTTATACAACTCAAGCGCCATGACCTTTATGTATAAAAACCGGTGGCCGCCCTTTAAGCGACCGGGCCAAACAGCCTCAGTATGAGCAGCGTGGCCGACAGATCTGGCAGAATCTGTGGGGATGCATGCCCAGGATTATCCCCTATGAGATGCCAGATGGTGTTGAGATTGGATATGTTTCACCGTTGTGTCATTGTGTCTACTGTTACTCTCTGTGCCACTTGCACATACGTACCCAAATACCGACCGTGAGTGGTTTTCACAAAGCATATAACAAAATAAGTGTATGGAAATAACTCATCACGGCATGTTTTCACAGTTCGACGCCCCTGCCCTGGTTCTGCAATGCACTTTATTCTAATGATAAAACTGGCAGTCTGTCCCTACACAGGGAGAAACCCCTGGCTGCAGTCGACATTAGCACCTACGGACTGGCACTGCTCTGAGCAACACTTATGAGCCTGCAAATCCACAAAATATTTCCATTAACATGTGAAAGTTACAGTACTATAACTGTCAGATTGGGCTTTAGTACAGCTGCCACAGCTCTACTGAGATAACAGAACATATAGAAGGAGTGTATCACTGGACATTAAGGGAAAACACACCATTTTTTTCACCTCAAATCAGGTCATGATTAGTCCTGCTCATGAATGTGTTCTGAGGCTCTGCAGAGGTTTTATAACGTGTGTGTGTGTTCAACAGAATAAATTCATGGCTGATTAAACGGTCATATTACATCAGCACTGACAGCAGTTCCCCTTATTTTGATCCTGCAGCGGCGCACCACCCTGCAAAATGAGGAGTGTTCACACAATCATTTGTATCAGTCGGCCACTAATGATCGTCACTCACCCGCTGTGCGAGCACAATAACACGCAACAGCTCCCTCTCCTCGTTCTTTAAAAAGGACATAAAATCTACTGTTATAAGAGAAGCGTAACTCCTCTAATGAACAAGGCAGTGTGTATTGTGTGTGAGAGCGACTCCACCAAATACGTGCACCATAGCACCAAAGTCTTCCACCAACAAGAGGAAAACACTGAAAGCTGTTCTGACTGCATTTGCATGCTCGTTAAACACACAGCGCAGTGAGCAGTGAAGGATATGGGCTGTTGTTAGAGTCGTCTGTGACATTCTTGATGCTCTGTTGGACCCAGACTCTCTGCTGGTCCAGCTCGTGTTCCCTGAGAGCCAGGTCATCTAGCTCGGCCTTTAGATCGATCAGCTTATCGGCTATCTCTCTGGTGTTACAGCCCGGACCGACACCCCTGAAGACACAAACACAAACACAAACACACGGTCACGTACAGGCGGCAGGCGAAGAGACTCCACACACTGATGAGCACATGTGGTTTGTGAACACCCTGCTTTATTATTAATATCAGTAATGTTATTAGTATCATGGGGGAAAAGGCCTATTTTGGGGGACTATGATTAAAACTACTACAGTTTTATGTGGATGCAAATACTTTAAAATGACAGCTTAAAGCCTCGGGCCGTGTTTCAAATACAATGTGCTTGACTACAGAGCCAAAACAGCAAAGAAATCTGTCACTTTCTTGCTGCAATGTAAATAAACAGCCTTTACTACTCTTATATCTACAGTTCTCCTGTTCTCCGCTTTGTTATAATGCCGTTCTGACATGATTATGTTGTGACAGCGGCGTGTTTGTTGGGAAATAAGCGCAGGAAAGTGACACACACACGCTGAACTGCGGACTTACTTCCACTGGATGCTGTTCTTGGACTTCTTCTCTATCAGCCCGATTCCCTCCAACACGTTCGTGATGTCGTAGATACGTCGTTTCTGCCGCACTGCCAAGGTGTCGGCCGCCTGAATGACAGCACAGAAAGTGATGAAGAATACAAACAAGAGATTACAGTTCCTTCGGTATGCAACCATAAACCACCAGCTTTCACCGCCCATTATAAAAGGTACGACATTTAAACTTCCCTCCCAGGCCCAAACTTTAAACAAACTAATGATAACCATATGGCCGGTGCTGATAAGTCTTCCGTTTGGTGACCAGGCCCTGTGGGTGACAGCTAGTAAACCGTAAGGCTCATTATTTACACGTGCAAAACAAATGTACTTCTTTTCCAACAGTGTCAACAAGTCAGAGCAGAGTTCTGGTGCTGCTTTTATACTGAAAGAGAACATACTGCCTGTCTGTCTGTCTGTGTGTGTGGTGTTTAATGATCAGTGTGGAGCGAAGCAAAAGCGAAACGCAAGTGTCAGCGGCTATAAAGTCGCTGTGAAAAAGAAACTGTGCTGTTAAGACAAAGTAATGCTTGGCTGATCAAGCTGCCGTCCGGGGGAGAAAAGGGAAATATGGATGGCAAGTGTTTGTTGAAGTGTTTCTATTTATAGTCCAGTTTAAACCGTAAGCTTTCAGGTCGAACCACATTTTACAGCTTTAGGGCTTATTAAGCGTTTAAACACGTGCAGAGATCAATTTGTTTCCAGCAACTTTATCTTATTAGACGTACACACAAACAACAACAAGCACTTCTTAGCTTCAGTGACTCTGAAACAGATCACAGTTTTGTGTTAATACAACATCTATGGGGTGAAGACTGCAGCTATTCTGCTTTTATTTTGAAGGAGATCGGTGTGGGAGTGATGGTTTTAACGTCACAGTTTACATTTATACTGATAAAAACTATTAAAATCATGAGGTTTTTTTTTTTAGGTTTCCACCAAAACAGGTGTTTTTGAACCACCCGGAGAACAAGAGTACAACCACAGCGCTTTAAATATAACGCTGTTTGCATATCGGGGTTAATAAACGCGTAACTGCAAAGCCAGAGGCATGTTTTATAAGTTCACAACTGGAAACGAGTGAATGCGTTGTCGTTAAGTGACAAAGACATTATCAATCAGACACAAAACTGCTCATGTGTGAAGATGCAGACAAAAAGTTGACCCACTTTTTTTTTTATATGACTCTGAATCTGCAGCGGGGGGGGGGGCAAAAAGTTCACCAGGGTTTCTTAAAAAAGTTCAGTTCGGAAACCTTTAACGCAAACAGCTGCATTTTTAAGCGGTTGTTGTTTTAAAAACAAAAAACCTACAAGAAGTTTATTTTTTTTATTTTTTTTTCACCACCCATTCAAATGAGGCTGTCACACGGCTAGGCTAGGCTAGGCTAACGGATGCTAGTGAAAGTGAATGTAAAGTAACGACATGTGCTAGCTCACAACAAAGACTCGGTGCTCCGCCTGCTCACCGCTTTCAGATCCAGCACTCCGTCCTTGGCCTCCTGCAGCAGGGTCACAAACTTGGTGGTGAGCAGTCCCAGGCTCTTCTCGTGTCTGCTGGGAGTCTGTGGCTGCAGCGAGTCTCCCACAGCTCCCAGTTCGCTTCTGTTACTGGCCGACTCCAGCTCCATCATCGCTCGGCTCTCGGGACCAAAAGCTAAGCGCTTCTCTTTCCCCCCCCCCAACAACTGCCTCCCCCGCGACCAAACCCAGGCAAAAGCACGGCCCGAACCGCCGCAGTCAGATAAAACACAAGACCAGGGGTCTAGCGGGTGTCCAATAGGCACAGTCCGACCCGGTTCGCGGCCAAATTGTTTCACCGAATCGAGCCGAGCTGGTTGAGTTTCGGCGATTCAATGGACGAGCGGAGAGCCGTTGGCCACGCGAGGTATGACGGGACGGCTCAACCGTCGGAGGGGCCGTGTGCAAATTCTCGATAAAAATTCAAACGGAAAAAAAAAAGTGTGTGTTTTAAAATCAGTGAACATTTTTTTTATAATGCATTCATTCGTTGTGTCGTAGTTAAAAGTAATTATTTATTAATTGTTATATGTAATTTTTTTTTTTTTTTT